CTAGGTATTGCTTTTACCTGCTTTAGCCATGTCAGAGTCTTTACCAAATATATTTTGCTTCAGGGAGTTTGCAATTGCCATCTTAAAAGCCCCATCTCTCTTTGAAATAGTCCAGAATTTCTGCCTCAGCTTTGTCTCTTTGAAAAGAAGGCAACTTCTTTTCATGAGCGTGACTGTCCTAAATACCTTGGGTGTTGTTTTCTGCTTAGCTGGCACCAAAAGAATCACAAAATAAGGTAGCTCATTTAAAACATTTTCCTCCTGGTTGTTCTGTTCCCCCATTCAGGAAAAAGATCATTGGTTACCATGGCAATAACTTTCCACAGCATTCCATTCTAAGTAACTGCACAGGTATAGCACACACTTTACTCCACATTCTTTACTGTAGTTCTCTGCAGATCTGCATATTTTTTCCAGCCTGCTCTCTGTAACTGCTGCTTAAAACAATCAACCAAACAACCTAAAGTTAAGCAAGATAATTTTTTCAAAGGCACCATATCCCCATTTTCTATGAATATTTAAGAAATTTACATATAGAGTAGTACAGCAATTTCTCTAATTTTGTTCTATCTGGACCCTCAACAACACCTAACTAAAAACTTTCTGGTACCTTCTTTCATAAGTCTAGGATTATATTTGTATCCCTTTGACCATATTTGGAAAACAATGAATTTAGAGTAAAAATCAGAGCAGGAGACAGTTCCATCAGATCATTTCTCATGGCTAGACATATCATAGCTTTCCTAAGGATAATTCTTTAGCTTTGCTCCCTCCACCACTTCCAAACCACTCTGATATTAATAAATTATCCTCAAGCCATTGCCTTGAAGGTATCAAACACTTGTATTCCTACCCTTGTGACTATTTACTCTGCTTCTGTTCAGAACATTCCTGCTAATAATAAAAGAGGATTTTATACAGGCCAAACACAACTTAATGGTGTCCAGTATCTGCTATATTGTGGAGGAAGTGAGACGATTTTGGAGAGCCAGCTGGATACATTCTGTTTCCCTACAACCCTTTCATTCTTTCCTTATCATTACTTTTAGTCTTTGCTGGTTACTTTCTTCATAATTATGTATCATAAACTGGGAATCATGTGACTTCTTTTGCATGGAGAGATATCTTTTTACCTATTTTTTCTATCCATGACTTTATTTGAAGCAACATTGGTATTTTGGTAATTAAAAAGAGGGAGCTTTTTAATTACCAGTTGCTATTATCTAATGTTAGACAATTAAAAATACAAACTGGCTTTAACTCTTACCTGAAAAGTTTTTCTATCTCATAGATGTCTTTTCATTGAAAAAGACATATCTCATGACCAATCTATGAACACCCCATTGAAGACTGCCATCTCCTATTAAGGGCAAGGAAGTAAACTCTGTAACTAAAACAGATGCCTTCGCCCACAGATTCTAAAATCAGAGGGTATTCATAAACCGCCCCACAAATTTTCAGAGCTCAGTGGGAAAGGGAACTGTTAAAAACTTGAAACTCTACTAAAGAACTTTCTTCCTCTTCCGGTAAAAGAAAATACATTACTTTCTAGGAAGCTCACTACTTCAAAAAACATACAAAGAAATCAGGGTTGGGAATTCACAAATGGAATTTGGGTTATATCAGCTCATCTTAGAAGAAAACATATTCACTTATAGATGGAAAGCCATACTATGGTTTTCTGACTCCTCTCAAAACTGTATTGGAATTGTTTCAAGGGGGAAGAAAAGACATTTTACTTTTTCTGAGAAGACATTCCATATTACATAAAATGTTTCAAAATTTTACATATTCCTTTGGGTACATGGACATACGTACTTCCTGATGATGATCTTAATCTCACACAAGACAGCAAGAAAAATTGATCAATTACAGGTAGAATTTTCTGATTAAGAGGCTGAAGTTAAATAATCACATTAAACTCTGGGTAATTATATCACAGTGCACCATTAGATTTATGTAGAAAAAAGGTTGCTTTCAATTCTCAGTTGACAAAAGAGCAGCTGAGAAGAGACCATGTAGCCGTGAAAAAGAGAAACTCTAATGAAGGGTCAGCAGTTTAAAGGCAGGGAGGCAGCTGACAAGCTGTTTTGACAGTTGGGTAAAGATGAGGAGAAAAAAGACTGTAAATGAGAGGAAGCTGTGATGAAAGGGTAGAATGAAGTGTTTGAAAATGGTGAAGTGAGAGCTTCAATTAACATGGAGGGAAAGAGCAGGAAAGAGAAAGTTACTTAGTTCAGATAGGACATAGTTTGTAGAGAAATTTTAGTTGAGTAATAACATACTTAATTTGTAGGGGCCAAAGGATGATATTATTTGAAGAATGACAGTTTTATTGTTTTAATACTTTATATATAAGAAGCTCCATTTGTCTGAAATATAAATTGGTACAAGTTTCTATTAACATGACTAATATATATTAGACAAATTGGCAAGCAGGGATTTACTTTTCATTAACCTGTTATAACCCTAAAAAAAAATCACTACTTTTAATATTTCAAACTTTAAGCAAGATCATAACTTTATAATGTGACGATTACCACAGAACCTGAATCAGTTGCAAATTGGTCTTAACTCTTTTTTCTTTAATCTTGGGCTCCTAACTTGAGCAAGAAAATGTAAATGCAGAAAGCTGCAAAACCAGTGTTTCTTAATTAGGAATCACACAAGTGGTTTAACATTAAAAACCACACATGGTATACATTCTACAGAGTTTTAGCTTTATTTCAACTACATTGATATTGATTTATAACTCTCCTAACAATCACTTCATAGTTTGGTAATCCAATGTCCTAGATTTTCCAGGTCACTTCAGATTTCAGCTATTTTGTCTGATGTCAAATGTTGTGTTCGGATTTTGGTTTAGAAAATATAGTTACTAAATTTATAGCCTAAGTCTGAAATAGTACTGGCCTTTGGCAGTATGTAGTAATTTTATTTCTGGGCCATGATTATCCAGTTAAATCAAATAAAATCAAAGTTCATTATTTGAATCTACCTAATAAGCTATCTTAATGAGGTCATTTAAAAAAACTGTACTAATTTACAATTTGAAAAGCATTCATATGATTTTTATAGACACAAACACATACATGGCTAGTAAACCTGTAGATGGCTACTCACCTTTGCCATATAAAAAACCAACATACTTAAGAGACGCTGTAATTATATATAATATGGTCAAAACTAAAGACGACAAAAATAATCTGAATGTGCTTGTGTTGGTGAAAAAGGATTTGATGGTCTTTCTTATTTTTAATTTCCACATCCTGAAACTCACAAAACGTTTGTTTATGGCTTCGCTCTTTATTACTTCGTGATTTAGGTAACGACTAAGACAAAAAAGTTTAAAAGTTGATTATGTCCAGAATGGCACTTAATAACTTTTTTTGAAAATTAAGGTGATTTTTCCCACGTCTTGTTGGAAGTATATCTACCACCAGCGATGAGGCTCTCCCTCCCACCTTTCCCTGCTAGTTGGGACATGAGAAGCTGGGGGTGCTGCTGCAACAGGGGTTGGAGTGGGAGATAGGATATTACCCGCTTGACTCTTCGGCACTATTGCTATGAATGATTCACCCGTGTTTGGCACATTTGCTGGCTGCAAGGAAATCTCCTCCTCCCGCCACTTCCTTCTTCGAACTCCTCTCTGGCTGTCTCCTGTGCTTTGGCCTTTAAGGAAAAGTGAGAGCAGGTGGGCACACAGGAGCTCGCCGAGTCCTCCTCCCCCTGCTTCTTCCCTAATTTAGCAGTACTTCCGGCCGCGTGACATCATCCCCCGCACCCCGGTGACGTGAGCGGCGGGTGACGTGTGTGCGGAGAGGAGCGCGCTGACGTTGCTATTTAAAGGTCCTCCTGCGGGGAGGATGGAGACACAGCGCTAGCACCTGGTGTGGGGCGCGGAGGCGGCTGTGGCGGCCGGGAGCGGGGCCAAGAGCCAGCGGAGAAACAGAACGCACGGCCCGCCCGCCGCCGGCCGCTAGGGGAGGGGGGAAGGAAGGAAGGACCGACTGACGGATCTGCCAGCCGGCCTAGCTCCCCACGAGGGCCGGCTCGGCCCCAGACCACCAGCCTCCCCATCGCCTCGCGGCTGCTGCCTTGTCCCACCGCCCGCGGGGCCCGTGGGGCCCTCAGGACGGGTCCGCGCCCCAGCCCCTCGCCGCAGCTCCGCGGCGGCGGCCGCCTCCCGCCCCCTCCCGCGAGCAGGGGGAGGGGCCGCTCTCGCCCCCCCTTGTTCTCCCCACCCCCTTCCCGCCCCTCGCAGCCCGCTCTGCTGCCGCGCTCGCCTCACGCTGGCGGCGCTGACCGTGGAAGCGGCGCCCTCCGCTCTGAGAGCCGGCCGGTGGAGGCGGAGGCAGCGGCGGGCTTCAGGCCGCCCGGGCCGGCACTGCTCTGCCCAGCTGCAGCCGGAGGCCGGCGGTGATGGAAGTGTGAAGAAGCGGCGGCGGGGCCCGGGGAATGTGAGGCGGCGCGTGGCGGCGGCGCGGAGCGTGAGAGACGAGGAACAGGGGTCGGGGCGCTGGAGCCGCGGCTCAACCACGGCTTGGAGCCCCGCTCTCCTGCCCCCGACGCGGGGTTAGCCTCCCACCTCGGCTCGGGCGGGCGCCCGTCGACCCTTCAGCCCCCTCCGCTGGCTGCTCGGCCCGCCCCGGAGCCGGGGGCAGGGTGCCAGGGGAAGCGTGGGGCTTGGCGCTCTGATTCATTCATTCTCCGCCGACGGGAGCCTCAGACCCGCTGTGCTCTGAAGAGAGGAGGGAAGAGGGGGCAGCCGCGAATGAAGGGCCGGGCGCGAGCCGGGCTCCATTGTGCTCGGCGGCGGGAGGCGGGAAGGGGCTGAGGGAGGTGGGATCGGGCCCCCTCCCCCAGCTCCCCGGCGTGTGCTGCGCCCCCAGCCTGCTGCCAGCCTGGAAATGGCTCCGTTTATTCTCCTCGGGAGAATGAATCGATCCTGCCCAGCCTTCTCTTCTTCCTCCCCACCTCCTCTCTGCTCCGAGTCTTAGGAGAAAAATTAAAAAGATTCCAATGTGGAGTGCCGTGCACGTCGCGAGCTGCCAGGTTTGCACTTCGAGGAGATTTTTCTATATAATTTTTTTCTAACGTGAGCATAGGGAAGCAGTGACATTACTGCTTTTAGGATTTTTATTCAAGTGCACGTCGCGTTTGGTTGCACGCTCCACCCCCCAGGGACTTGGTGTGGTGGAGAAATTTGAACCCGCAGCCTTAGCACCGAAAAGGCCGAGTTACCTGGCTCTCCCTGAGTGTTGAGGAGAACATGAGCGAAATGACCGGCGAACTCATTTTTTATAGGACTCCATGAAGCTGGATTCTGCGTTTTCCTACATGTAAGACTCTTTTTTGTGGAATAGAGATCGACTGCTATCTCCTCCGCGCTGCATTTTAGCTCTAATAAGCAAATGCCGCCTCTGTTTGAACGTTTTGGTATTTACAAGAGAGAAATCATTTTACCTAAGAGAACTAATTGAATTGTCAGCATCATTCAAATACCTCCGGAAAAGGATCTCGGGGGGTGGAAAAGCAACTGCGAAATAGCAGACGGAGAAATTCCTTTGGAAGTTATATTCCGTAGCATAAGAGCTGAAACTTAAGAGCAAGTTTTCATTGGGCAAAATGGGGTAAGGATTTTTGTGCTTAACACAGCTTCGAATCTGTTTATGTATGTGTCTTATTGAGCGGTGGTGGTGATTGTGTTTTGTGTTTTCAAACAAATTTGCCAGCTTGCTAAGCTGGTCACACTTTAAAAATATGAGTGTGGTAACCTTTTACGAAGGTGGTGGTGTAGAGTGGCACCAGAGGTTAGAATTAAGGAACACACACACATGTATATCGTTTGTAACTTCAGCATAGTTTTATGAATAATATTTATCAAGAACGCATTTTGCACTTTACTGGTCAAACTGCTGCATCGGTTTGTAACCAAAATCACCTTATCTTAGGTTTTGTGATGGTATCTTTCGAAGAGAAGTCCTGCATTCTCTCTGTACTTCAGAATAATCAGTTGCACAAAGGAGCGATTGTAATGAGTGGTTAGACTACAGTACTTGAAAGTGATCCAGTGTAAACTGTTACCCTCACCGTGCCCTCTGTTTCGCCCTTGAATATCCAAAGTTAAAAACGTGTAATATTGATTCATTGGAGACATTAAAACGAAAATCTGAAAATCTTAGTGATGCGGTCACCACAGTGTGGGTGAACTGGGTAGGAAAAGGCTTTTTTTTTTGTTCAAGGAACTTGTTCTTCACTTTTTTCGTTTCTCTAATTTAAGCTCAGACTTTCAGTTTGTGTTGACAGTATCAGATCTACACCTTATTTCAGACCCAAAGCAAACCAAGAGTGCATTTTCAAACCTTTTATTAACTCTTAACACTGTGGGTTGGTAAAATGCTAGTGACTCTTTCTAATTTAATCTGGAAACCCATAATACGTTAATGGAGTAATCTACTCATTTCGTCAAAGAGGAACTTCCAGAATTTTCTTTGTGGTTGAACAAACACATATAAAGTTGTAGTTGAGGGACAGGATTTAAAAGAATGACTCTGAAATTCATGTCATGATTTAGGGGTGTACACATTCTTCTTGAAACTTTCGGAGGAAAGTTTTTGAATAGTATCTTTTTATTAGAGTTAGAATTTGAAGTTTATTAACTTGCATAACTTTGAAAATTTAGAACATGTTGTAGGAGTTCTTCCTTGGGAATTAATGAAAAAGTGATAATGGTTTTTAAACCTTAAATGACAAGTGATGAGAGTATATATAACTTGCATGATTTGGGGTACTGCTAAGAGTAGTTAAAATACATCATTCTATTTCTAGTGCTAGTAGCTTAGTGATCTGAGGCAAATTACTTAACCTCTGTGGCCTCTGTTTTCTTATCTGTAAAATGAAGGAATTAGATGAGATGACTTTTAACATTTTTTCCAACTTGTAAAAATGAATTTTTTTTCCTTCTCCTTCACTCCATTTTAATGATCAGTAGTTGGTTTCTTGAAGTAGATCTTTCAGTTGGAGGGATTTCTTTTTTTTCTCTAAGCAGTTTAAACACTTAAGCTGGAAAATAATGGCATTTGAAAAATGTTTTGGATGAATTGCACCAATTTTAGATAAGAGAAAACACTGAAAAATACTGCTGTTCAAAACCTTTGAAAGATGGCTTCCCTTGAGCATCTGCAGCTCCTCTGTTTAAAATGTGTTGGAGCAAAAAAAAAAAAAAAAAAAAAAATTCAAGCGGCAGTTTTTCATGTTGAGGGCTGCTTTCTCTCTAGACTGGGTGGAGTGGTAGCACCATGAAAGAAAATCAGTTTTCCACAACCTTTAAGCTACATGAATGCCCATCATTTCATGAAGGGAGGCTTGGGATGAACTTAATACTGAAGGGACTAGTATTTAAAACGTGAAGGTAAGCCACCCCCACAACACACATTTAGACACTTAGCGTAATTAAATTTGTTTATAAACGAGTTTATTTGCCTTTTCGTTAATGAAGTCCTGAATGTGGACTGCAGAGCAGAAGGAGCAAACATTTGTAGTGCTATTTTTCTGAAAGCCTGTATTGGAGCTATGACCCTTTCTCATTGATAGTGACTTATTTTATCTGAGTTGTTGAGAGGAAGGGAAGGTAGAAGTAGAAGAGTATACAGCAAAGGCATTTGCTGAAGTTTCCCACTTTGTAGGTGTGTATACCTAATAAATGTTTGTGGAATTAGCATAGCTGCCTGGACCTATTTAAAACAAAAGGAAACAGAGCTTAAAATGGCTTTTAAAGTTTTACCCAGGCTATCCTAAATTACCTTACTCTGATAGATATCTAAAACGTAATAGTGGGTGAAGAGTTTAACATATTACAAATACATTTTTGACTGTTAGGTTATAATAAGGATTTATCTTTGCCTTAGTTGTGGCTATAATTGCAAGTCTGAGGGCAAAGTCTAAACAAAGGAATTACTTTTAATGAAATCAGTGATGAGTTTTGGGCAGAAAAAAATTTATGGCTCCTGTAATAGTTTATGAACTATGTGGAAATGGAAAGGAACAGCTGAAACTGACATTTGGCAGAGTCTATCAAAGTATCTTGGATGTTGCTTAAACTGTTTTTAATTGCAGTGAAGGCAACTAAATCATGGATTTGTAAAATAGGTGTATTCGATCCCCTGAAAATTAAGGTATTCATATATATAAGATGAAGTCTGTGACAAGCTTCAAAGCCTCAGTGAGGAGCCCCTGTTAGGTATGACCCCCCCACCCCCATGTAGTATCTCATAATGAGAGCAATGAGTCAGTAGCTATTTCAGAACTCTTAGAGTAGGCAACAGAAATCAAGTAACTTCAACCAGTTATTTCATGCTATCTTTTGTTTTACTTACCTCATGTTGGCAACCTAGTGCCATCAGCAAGGAAAGAAAATTCTTCCCTTCCCTTCCCTCATTAAGAGCTAGTTACATATAAAATGGGGCCCCCCTGCTAATGGAGTCTGATAATGCTGTTTGTGATTTATCTCACCTGCGTGTGGGAACCTCTGGAGTCCTTTCTCTCCCCCCTTTGCCCAGATAACTTATCGAAGCATGGAAGTGAATGCTGCAACATTGCAACCTGTACTGAGTCCCTTCTTTAATACAAGAAGCTGGCACTTCTTTCTATCTCAGGCGGCAGGGTTCTGTTCTCTGGGGGTTGTAGCAAAAATGTGGAAATCTTGATCCAGCACTGCGTATGAATGGGCTTTGTTGCAAAGATAACCTCTCTGTCATTCCTAATAAGAAAAGTTAGATGCAGGTCCTTAATTCTTTGTTCATTTTACCACCTTTGATCCCTTGATACAGTTCAATAGCTCAGTACTGCTGAAAGGGAGACTAGTAAAATGTGCTCCTTCCCTTGAGGAGTTTATAGTTTAGAAGTTATGAAGACATTCAAGCCTAAAATTAAAATGTACAGTGAAATATTAAAGAAGCTATAATGTAGGGCATTATAGAGACATGAAGTGTGTTTGTGAGTGAGTGTGTGTGTGTGTGTGTGTAGCATTAACTGCTGGGGGAAGGGTAAAAAGGCCGGTGATAAGCATTAAATACTGAAAGATGAGTACAGGTGGGCCTCTTAGACAAATGAGAGGGCATTCAAGGCAGAGGGAACAGTGGTTGACAGCACTGTGACAGGAACTGCAAAAGTTTGGCATGAGGTGCTTTGTTTGCTTGAGCTCCCTTTGATGTGCCAAGAGAGAGGTCTAGAGCCTTATGCAGGAGCCAGGTTAGAGAGCCTTGTAGATCAAATGAAAGACTTTGGGTTATCCTGTTGGGCTGGTGTATTTCAAGCTTTATGGCTATGACTCATTGGAAAGATACACATTTTTACATTGCTGCCTAATATGCTTATATATAAATGTTAAAATGTTACAAAATAATACCCTTTATGTGATATATTGTGGTAGTTTTTATTCTATTCCAATACATTTTATTTTTAAGAAAGAGTGATGATGGGGAACCACTAAATTTATTAACCCTATGGTAGCAAGTGGTAGTTTGAAAAACTCTGCTCTGTTGGTTGTGGAAAGAAAGCACTAATGGGTTTCAAGCAGAGTAGTAACATGAAGGATTGGGGAAGTAGGGTGAGAAACCAGTTTTTAAAATTAGTTAAAGTTTGTTTTTTTATGTTGTGTCCTGTGGAAACACCAAGCCAGAACAGAGTATCCTGGCTGGGTAGAGGAAGTGGATAGATGGGAAGGCCCTGGAAAGTTCCCAAGTGGGGAGGGGAGGGATGGTGATTGAGAGATGTGTTGTTAGTTGGCTGAGCGAATCTTCTTCAGAATTAGGGCATTTTATGTGCAGAGGTAATAATGTAGGAAACGGTTTGGTATGTTCCTAGCAGAGCCGCTCACTCTCAGATGGGTCATGAAATAATGAATTTGAGTGTTTGAAAGGAGAGGAGAGAACTTGGATGAAACTGGAGACTGTTATCCTAAGTGAAGTATCTCAGGAACAGAAAAAGAAACACCACATGTACTCATAAGTGGGAGCTAAGTGGTGGGATGCATGATCATACAGAGTGGTATAATGGACTTTGGAGACCCAGAATGGGGAGGAGGAACAGGGGTGAGGGATTAAAAACTACCTCCTGGGTACAATGTGCGCTATTCGGGTGTTGAAATCACTAAAAGCCCTGACTTCATCACTATACAATTCCACATAACAAAAAACTACTTGTACCCCCTAAATCTAATTAAATAAAAGCCAAACACAATCCTTAACAAAAAAAAAGTAAATTTGGGAGTTAAGGGGTTGACAAAAGAAACTGTCCTTATTTTATAGTTTTGAGTGATTGTATTTCTCAAATGAAAAGGTAGTTACATCTCAAAAGATCTAACCTTCCAACTGCCATGTGACTTTTTTTTTGAGTCCTTAGATGTTTAGTTGAAGTGTTTTATTTTTAGTTACTGGATTGTTCTGTTATTTAGGATTAATTCAACTGGACAAAAGAGTAGGAAAAATGAGTCCCAAATATTTAATGTTTCCTGATTTTTTTCTGATATAATTTTTAAATGACTATAAACATTTTAAATAGGTTTATATTTCAATTAGTTAGGACATGTCTAGTTGAATGAAGTATGAAATTTTTTGTTCCATATTTGTAA